CCCCCCCCCCCCCCCCCATTCCCAACGCTGCAAACGTGTATTTTGTTCATTATTTGCCATACGGGGGTGCACGTGTCGGGCGCTACGGATCCTATTCTGCCTCCTGTGATAGTATCTGAGATGGGGAGCTTTTGGATCGAGAATTGTGATAGTTGGGTGTGGTCTGCATCAGCATTGCACGGGAGACTTTAATTTTGTTTTATCCCCCTCCAGATGAGATTTCACATGGGGTTTACTTGTCTTCACGTGAGTCAGTATTGCTTATCTGGCGCATGAACGCCTCAGCCCCTCCACGAAACGGAGATTTAGTTCGAATTTGATTTGATTCAAATCTGTTTATTTTGTTGGATGACAAACATGAGCGAGCGCTGCATTCCCTGATGACTAGATGGTGGGATCTGTAAAGTGATGGAAGAGGTCAGTTTTTCAGAAAGGCGACGTTCTGAACGAGCCAATGCAGAATGATCATGGATAAGCTGGTGCATGCAGTAAAAGTAATCGGCCAATGTTAAGGTCTGGGGTGTTGCTGCTGGCACCCGACTCCAGTAGCCATTTATCTCTCAATTGTATCCTTTGTGCGCAGCATCTTAGATTTGATGCAAAATAGTTTCAACAATTGACAGGTCATTCCCATTGCCGGCTCTTATCTTTGAGTGGTCTAGTCTCAACAGTAGATTTGCTTCATGGTACCATTTTTTTTTTTTTAGTGAGAAATAAATATAATTGATGGAAGTAATTTGAAATTGGGTGTGCACGATGAATGGTATAATAATGAGCTCTAGCCTGGGACGTGCTGGGTGGGCATTTGAGGAATTGTTTCTGGAATTTTTGAGGTGGACACTTGTGGCTCGATGGTGGTAAGTTTTCTAGCTGTGGACTGTGAATTCCAGGAATGGATGGAGCTGGGAATCCTTTGGATGAAGGTGAAAATGGAGGCAGTGAATGCTTTGAATGGAACTGAGGACAATGGAATTAATCTTGAAGTACAGTTAGTGGGACAGTGTGTGCAAGGAAACACTTGCATTTTTAACTTATTCTGTTAAGCGCATCTATTTGCACCTGGCATTGTCAGCACCCCAATAGCTCAAGGGTGTGTGCACTTCAAGCAGACACTCCTTTCGTTGGGACTGCTGCTGTGGATGAGCGGCTCTGAGATTCTGGGTGGTTTTCACTTTAGGAATGTGGGTGAGCTGGCAGATCAGGCTAGGTGGTGTTGTGGGATGTAGAAGAGCAACAGCTGACAGTCGGAAGGTTCCATTGGGACAGCACGTTAGCCAGAGATCATGCAGCACAAGTAGCTAGGTCATGTTTGCTTCAATAATGCTTCATTGCAGCTGCTGTGATGTAATTCAGCTGCCTTCTAGGAATTGGAGTGGGCCTAAAAGAAAGATCAAAATGGTTTCTGCCTGGGTCTGCTCTAGTAAGCCTTTTTTAGCAAATGCCATTTCCAGTGAGCTGCACGTGGCTTTTATCAACTTGGATTCTTTTATAATGAGGATTGCTTAAAATGATTCCTCATTGGAGCTTAGCTGGTCTAGTGTTTCTGACCCAGAGGGCAGTTAAAAGTCAGCAGTGCTACTGCAGGTCTAGGGTCACGTGCAGTCCGACAAGCAAGGATGACCGATTTTCTTCCTTAGTGAACCAGATTGGTTTTTATGGCCACCAAATAATGCTTGTTTTTGGCTAGATTTTTTAAAATTCCATTTTTTTCACTGAACTAAAATTTCATCTGCCTGTTGGGATTAGAGTGCATGTTTGTGGAAAGCTAGCCTGGTGCTCTAGTTGCTAGTCTAGTGACATAGCTACTGTGCCACCCCTACCTTCACTTCAGGCATTGAATTGATAATCTGGATGACCTTGCCCATTTGCTCCATAAAGACATGCATCTCTGGTTTGGCGCTGTGAATGAGACATGTTGGTTGTCATGCCATTTGTGATGCTACATTGATCTATGTAGATACTCCCTTCCTGTCTAAACAAACTAGTTTGTGTCTGTTACAAATGGTGGGTATATCGTTTGCAACACTGAGGCTCACTGCATGCGGCCCGATTGAATGTCTTTGTTACAAACGTGACTGCATCTGTGCAGGTAACAGCGGCTTGAGCTGGTGATCATGGCTTTGGTTTCAGTAAGTGGGGGATAAATGATGCAGCAAACTCTAATCATTGGGATAGTTCACTTAGCACCCCCCACCCTGCCCCAAATATAGGTGAAAGAAATGATGGCTTTGTGAGGACAATTTTGGCATCTATGTAAAAGAACAGTGGAAGCAGATTCAGTACTCTGTTTCAAAAGGGAATGCAATGAATATTTGAAAAGGACAAGCACGTGACTCAAGCTGTTGCAGAGGTGTGCAAAGGCTGAGAAGCTGCCATTTGATTCTAATTGCTATGACCTACAGGTGAGATTCTCACTTTAAATCCACAGTCAGTGCTGGGGGCCATCTGTTTTTCTTTAGAGAGGGGGCAGGCAAAATAATGGGGTCAGTTCCTATGGGCCATCTTGCTGCCCTGTGGCTGACGAGGGAAAAGTATTGACAGCATTGCAGCTGAAACACCTGCTAAGCCAGCTGTGATGAGCTCGAGAGACAGACTGGAAATAGTGATGTCCCTCGTGTATTTTTCTGTTGCATTGGTGGGGCTGTCGTCTGTGCTGCTTCGCCCAAACAGCTTGTGGGAAGAGCAGGGCAACTGCTGTCTCTGTCTATCTTCCAGCCTCCTGGGTGTTGAATTTCCTTGGCAGTTTGCACAGTAATCATATATGTTTCATGAGCTAACATCTCCAGTGCTGATGAACATTAAAAGGACATGGCTAAAGGTACAGCGTGTCGCAGTTACTAATAATAATTCCCTTTTCTCTCTGTGCCCCTTCAAGGGCTGCAAGGATGTTCCAGCTATTTGTGCTAAGACTAAAGCTAAGACTTTGCCTTAGAATCATTTAGGTATTTATCACCATTGATTCAGCCCTTCATTGCTTTTGTATGATGTGGTTGTAGAAATAGGCTGTTTGACTATTAAGTCTGCACTACCATTCAGTGATACCATAGCTGATCTGATAATCTTAGTTCCGCTGTCTTGTCCTTTTGCTGTAATGCTTGATTCCTTAATGGGTTAAAAATCCTGCCTCTCTCAGCCTGGAATATCCTACCTTGATCGTGCTCTGTGTGAGTAATTCGACAGGCTCACTATCCCCTGAGCAAAGAAATGCCTCCTCGGGCTGCTGAGATGATTTGAAGACTATTCCGATTGCTCCCCTCTTCTTCCATAGCTGTGTTCACTTTATAGTGGTTATGTGCTTCCCACTTCTCTCTTCCATATACTCGGCAGAAACCCCCCACATCTTCCTCCACACCCCACCATTCATTCTATCCCAAATTCTCAAGTGTGCCAGCTCCTGTAACAAATTTTGGTACCATTGACTTGGTAATGTCTACTCTGTTTGATATACTTGTTTCTGTCCTGGAATCCTACACTATGGTTCTGTGGCAAACCTGTTTCTTTCTAGTTTACTAATACCTGAAATCTGTTGTTGTCTCCATGGGTTTCGCTTGGCTTCTAATACTTTGGCCTGTTCATGGTTGGAGTTGACAGGCCGTTCTGATTTGGCATTGAGGAAATGGCAGTTGTCCCCTCCTGCCTGTCATGGGTATACCTGTAATATTGCAAAAATGTTTATTTTCTAATCAGCCTGTTCAGAGATGTTACTACACACCTCTGGAACAGGTGGGACTTGAACCTGGACTTCCTGGCACGCTACAGGTGTTGGTATATTTCCCACCCAAAGAGAGTCCAGTTGTGACATACCTGCTGATGGACCATAGACTGAAGATTGAGTTTAGTTCTCTGGTTAGATATGTCTGCTCACTGGGGTCTCTAGCTGATTTGTGTGGATGGACTGGATAGGTTTCCCTCATAGCTAGGTTGCAACCCTGAATGTCATGGGGAGAGTTACTTAATTTGTCTGAGTCTGGCTCATACGGTATGAGAAAGTCTTCAGCGCATGTGTGCACCTCAAGGCCCTCTGCAGTGTGAAGCTTTTAATGAGTTCCTTTGAAAAGTTCCACTTGATTGTTCCCCTTGAACTGATGCTGAACTTTCAACTTTTGCCCACTTAATTACAAACAGTGCTGTCTCTTGCATTGTTTTGCACTGAGGATTGGGGATAGTCTGAGTATATAACCCCCAACTCACTCCCAATCCCTGTTTTCTTCAAACTGCACTGCCATTTGTCTTCTGTTAAAATAGTTACCTAGTGCACCAATAGAATGTACACAGAATGAACATGTACAAAATCTCAGAATCCCTAAAGTGCAGAAGCAGGCCATTTGGTCCATTGAGTCTGCCCTGATCCTCCGAAGACCATCCTGACCAGATCCACACCCAACCTATCTCCATAACCCTGCATTTATCATAGCTAATCCACCCACCCTGCACATCCATGGACACCATGGGCAATTTAGCATGGGCAATTCACAAAACCTATGCATCTTTGGACTGTGGAAGGAACTAGAGCACCCAGAGGAAACCCACATAGACGTGGGCAGGATGTGCAACTCCACATAGACAGTTGTGCATGGTGGAATCGAACTCGGGTCCCTGGACCTGTGAGGCTTCTGTGCTAACCACTGACCTTCCGTGATGCCCTAAAACACTGCTTGTTTCAACTTAACAAAATAGACAGCAGCCATTCCTTAGCACAATGCTTTGTCTAATCAGCCAATCTGCCTGTTTTAAATTTCAGCAAAATTCAGCCATGGTCCAATCCATTCGAGTCTGTCATGGGTGTGCCTGTAACATTGCAAACAGTGACTGGTACTGTTATCTTTTCCTCACCCAGTGGTAACACTGGGGCTAGCACATATTCTTCATCCTGCTGTGCAGCTGCACACTGAGGTTTCCCTTCTTGCCTTACACTACACTTTGTGGAGTGCTGCCCCTCAAGCTGTATAGAGAGATGCCTATTGCCCTTTGTGGGCTGCTGTTAACTTGAAGAAAATGTCAACCTTTGGCTAGTGTAGTGCTAGCTACATTTCACTCCTAACCTAAAGAATTGGTTTCATTTGTTCTGAAGATGGCTCAATCAGTGGGGTCAGGGGTTAGGGACAAAGGGCGGGAAAGTGGACGTGAGGAATGTCCGATCAGCCATGATCCCACTGAATGGTGGAGCAGACTCAAGGGGCTGCACAGCCACCTCCTCCTCTGTGGTCTTGTTCTGATGGAAAATGTCAACAATCAGTGTCACTGGACCGTGCAAGAGTTAACGTTAAAACCCTCTACTCTTAAGAATATTAGTCTTGTTCTGATTTTGACAGAAACTACATCACGTGCTTTACTGCTGTATGCAGGTGTCCTCTGGTCACAAAGGTTATTGTGCGAATCAGGTTGTCTTTAAACGTGGCAATATTCAAAGACCCCAGACAGATCACCCTTTACAACCAAGCCTTAATGTCCCAACTTAATACTGCCTTAATAGCCTATGAGGACTATGTAAGGTCAAAGGTAGATTCCTCTTTCGTTCTGCCATTACCTTTTTTCTTGCAGAGGGTCTTGAATAATGTTCTAGCCCTGCTAGCATCATTCCATACTGCTATGTTAGCTGGCTCATGTTTACCAGTGATTATAGGTCCAATTGGTAATCTTGCATCCATCTGGAACATTCAAGGTAGTGCTATTGTGGATGATTCTCAAAGCTGTGGTATAAACACTGCATTGGGCCAGGGAGAAACTAGACTGTCACCATGTACTTCCAATCATAGTGTTAGGAGGAGGTCGCACCCTTTTTTTTTTTCACCTGCCTCTCCATGGGAAGGTGTAAAGGTATTAACCAGTGTTACTGCTCAGCAGTGAAACTCTCAGTCTTTGGCAGCAGTTCATTCCCATGTGGTTGTTAAATTGTGACAAGTGTAAAGGTGGCTCAGGGAAATTCAAATTCATTTTATGAAGCATCAACAAATAACTGACAGGTTATAAATGGTGGCATGTTGTTCTAATGGGCAAGGTCCTTTTTATAACATGAGATTTTAGTTGCAATCGGTAACCAGTGAGTAATGTCAGTGTCATAGTTCCAGCGAGTTAATCCCAAAGATGTGGTTCAGTTGTAAAGGGAGGGAGTTGTTTGGAACACAGTTTGGAGATAATGAGTCAGATGTCACATGATTGTGACGTACAGTTTAGTTGCCATGGCCACTGTTGCTTCTCTGTTATCAGGCAGTTGTTATCTAAGAGCTCAATTTTAAAAAAAAGAGCTAGTCTGTGTGGTAGGGCTGTAGGAGGAAGTGCCATATAGAGCAAGGTATGCAGATAACATGAGGCCCAATACTTTCTGATGCTAGTGTTTAATCATTTAACTGTCCCAGTCCCAGTCCCCCTCCTGGAATTCCTGAAACTCTCATTCAGCTTTATCGAAGGGTTTGGTAAAACACAGAAAGTCAGTCTCCTTTAGCCTGTATTCCTTCCAGACCCTAAATAAAACTGTGTCCCTGTGGTACAATACAAACTTGCAAAATGCCTATTTTGCAGTGAGGGACTTTGTGACACTATGCAGTGTGTTCTATCGCTGACAATTTAATCTATAGTGTTCAACAGTGAAAACCTGGGCGGTGTTTCCACTTTACTCCATTGTCCATAGTGCTGCTCCCACAGGCAAATTGGTGCTGATGAGGAGCTGAATCTATGCCATGTTGTGGTCGCTGTGGCAGCTAACTGTGCTCTCTCTCATACGTTTCTGACATAAATTTTATTCACTGTTGGTTTTGCTGTTTGTAGGTAACTGAGCTGAACGAGGCCCTATCCAACGAAGACCGGAACCTGCTGTCTGTGGCCTATAAGAATGTGGTAGGGGCCCGGAGATCATCCTGGCGAGTGATCAGTAGCATTGAGCAGAAGACCTCCGCTGATGGCAATGAGAAGAAGCTGGAGATGGTGCGTGCCTACCGTGAGAAGGTGGAGAAGGAGCTTGAGGCTGTGTGCAGTGATGTGCTGGCCCTTCTCGACAAGTTCCTCATAAAGAACTGCAACGAGTCCCAGGTGGAGAGCAAAGTCTTTTACTTGAAAATGAAGGGCGACTACTACCGCTACCTGGCTGAGGTGGCTACTGGTGAAAAGAGAGCCGGTGTGGTGGAATTGTCTGAGGCCTCCTACAAAGAGGCCTTCGAGGTCAGCAAGGTTCAGATGCAGCCTACCCACCCCATCCGCCTAGGCCTGGCCCTCAACTTCTCTGTCTTCTACTACGAGATCCAGAATGCCCCAGAGCAGGCCTGCCAACTGGCCAAGGCAGCCTTTGATGACGCCATCGCCGAACTGGACACTTTAAACGAGGACTCCTACAAGGACTCGACTCTCATCATGCAGTTACTACGAGACAACCTCACCCTCTGGACAAGTGACCAGCAAGACGACGAGGCAGGAGAAGGCAACAATTGAGTCTCTGCAGTCACTGCCTCCCCCCTCACTTATCCCCTCTCCTTCCCCGCCTCACCCAACTGACCCCACACGCACACGTGCTATATACCCCAGTGCTATTATCTACTGTACACACAGCTCCTCTAAAGCCGCTGTATGCCCATCAGAAGGACAGACAAACTCGATGCATCTTCATTGACTGCATCGGTATTTAAGCCCCTTTGCTATAGTCACTCTTTAAAATCATGCAAAGAAAATTCTTTGAGCCATTTTGTTGCCAGTGAATCACTTGCAGACCAATTTGTTTTGGTCCCTTTTTAATGTTTGAGCAGTTTTTAAAATGAGCAATTGCCTCCTCACTCCATCCCCCTCAAACGAAATGCGAATGCATTTGGTGTTTGAAGCACTCTAACCAAGATTAGAATGAGCAAAGGCTGTGACTTTCTCTTGACCAGTCGCTCCTGTGCATGTGGAGCCTACAGTATCCCTGTCAGTCATGGAAACTCTGGTACCCAAACAATTTAAAAGTAAACAGTGGATCAGGAATTGACTGTATTGTGGAGTTTACATATAGTCTGCTCATTTTAGCCAATGAAACCTTAACCATGAAGCAAAATTCTATAAAGCTGGGAGACTGGCTATTTTGTGTTGCTGAATATTTTTATTTTATTTTGGCTGTTTAATTTATATGGAGCTCGATGATGTACACAGATCTTGGGTAATGCGTTTCATCTGCTGAAATGTTTTGATACTTTTTGTTTTAAGAACCACATTTTTGTCAGATGTCTGTTTGAACCTCAATGGTTATACGTTTTCTTTGTAAAAACATCCGCTTTACCAATCAGTTTGAGTTGATTGAGCTCACAAAACAGATTGTGCATTTAAAAAAAACAAAACAAAATTGAAAAGCCTTGGAATGCCAAACCATAAATCATTGTTGGGTTGAATGGATGACAATAAATGCTACTTCAGGTGTATCATCAAATTGGCCCTCTTTCTTGTCTGCTTGTTGGTTGTCATTGCATTTGATCTTGGAAATCATCAACCGCCAAATCAACTCTTATTTACACAGATTCCGCCACCTCAGGATTGCAGCTCTAAAAGCAGGTCTGTTCCATAGTTTGTGCACTGGTATTTCTTGCAGCGTGGGAGACGACACAACACCTGTTCCTACATTACAGTGTCTGTGTTTTCCCCCAACCTCTCCAAGGAGAAAGCGTTTACTTTTTGTGACATATCTGCATTGTTCCCACTACCCCTATGAATACACTTCTCTATTCATATTACGGCATTGTTTGTTTTGTTTTGTTTAAGGAGTGGCACCAGATTTGGAAGATCTCAATGTTAGCATGATAACTAGATAAGTGCTGCATTATAATTGCAATTGTCTAAATGTAAATTTGATGTGGAGGTGCCTGTGTTGGACTGAAGTGGACAAAATCCAAAGTCTCTCCACACCAGGCTATAGTCCAACCTGTTTATTTAAAATCATCATCTGGTGAAGAAACAGTGCTCCAAAAGCTGAAGTGAAGTAAATTGTCAGCCAGTGATTTCACGTCCCCTGTCCCAACTACCAAGTGTGACCTTCCTGTGGCACTGCCTCCATATTACAGACTTAGTCTTGTCTCCTTTTGCTACTTATTTGCTAGATATCAAGCTGGTTTAGTGTGAGATGATGAGACTGATGTTTGGTGAGGGTCTGGAGCCACAATGTGGGTGACTCCTAACCCCAATTGCCCAGAGGGTGGTTGAGCAATTAATGGGCAGTGACACCCTTATCCATGATCAAAATTACTGTTTGATTCAGATAATGGACTTGACCCCATAACCTTCATTGGATTAGAATGAAGTGGGAAATTGCAGAACAGAACATGGCCATGTGACTTTTTGGCCCAGCTATCCAATAATCCCACTTCTCTCAGCGCTTCGTGTATATCCAATTTCCTTTTGAAAGATGTTATTGAATATACACTCAGTTTTGATGAACTGAAACTATGTTCAAATAATTTCCTCATTCCCTTTGTTCTTTTTGTCAATGACCTCAATTTCCCCTCTGGTTACTGGCCATCCTGACAGTGGAAACCATTTCAACTTCTATCAAAATCCTCAAAACACTGAATATGTAAAGCAGCTTAAGTTTAAGAATTTTGCAGAATTACATTGACTGGGTATGCATACTCCCTTTTCAATGGCTGTTACTCTGCAGCATCTGTGGAATACCTAACCATCTATACTGAGTAGTACCAGCATATTCTGTTTGTTTCCTGGCAGCTGCCAGTTTTCTGTAGATTCTTCCTGCTCAAGTCAAGGTTAAGGTACCATTCACAGGAGTAGGCCAGTTCTCCCAGTGACTTGGCCAATGCTCATCCCTCAACAACAATAACGATCATCCCCTGACTAGCACCACTAACACTGATAACCCAGTCGTGTCACTTCCAAGGCATCTCGCATTTTTGGTTGATTGGAATTCCGATGTCATCCTAACTGGGTCTGAGCAATATTGACATGAGCAGAGACTGCATCATGAGCATTTCTGGATAAGTGACCATGCTTTGAAGTATTAACCTGTATTCCAGTCTTGGGTGTGGGACTTGAAACTGCGCCCTCTAACTCTATAGCCAGAGTGTGTTACCATTTGGCCACAGTCAAGAATTGAGTGGGGGAATAAGATCTAGAACGTAGCATGAACTTCGGAATTTGCTGTTGATCTTCCTTCTGTCCACAGCAAATAGCTTGTGTGACTGTCGGGAATCAAATACGTTTTATCTGCCAGCTGTGTTTTCACCTTGGTATGCATGTTTGTTCCTCCTCCTGCAGCTCCTGTTCCTTTGGGGTGGGGGCTTGTGCGGTAATTTAATGTTGAATTTATCTGATTTTGGCACGTGCTGGGGTTATCGGAAATCGGATTGAGATTAAATTTAGATGTGCTCAACTTCAAGATGGGAGTCTCTAACCGACTTGTTCAGCGATCTGATGTTGTACACCTCTGGAGCAGGTGGGAATTGACCACAGGCCTCCTGGCTCTGAGTTGGGGGTATTGCCACTGTACCATGAGAGCCCTACCAGTCTGGGCTGCATACCGCCCAAGTCTGAGCATGAATGTTGTATTGCCCCACCTTTCTCTCTGTATCTGCCTGTACAAAATACAAGGGAGTGGCCCACTGTTTGACTGACCATGCAGGGGTGGTAACAGCATGCTGTATATCCTTCTCCAAACTAAAATACATTGCAAATTTCTTTGTAATTCACCTGAGGTGTGCAGGCCTATTGATTTAGGAATTGTGCATGCTGCTGCCGCCCGGTGTGAATCATAGAATCCCTGCAGGAAGAAGCTATTCAACCCATTAAGTTGCACCAACCTTCCCAGCAGCTACCCACTCATATGCACTCACCCATCCCCATAATTTGCATGGGGTTTTTACCATGGCTAACCCACCTGGCTTGCACACCTTTGGACTGTGGGAGGAAACTGAAGCCCCAGAGGAAACCTACATGGATGGCGGGAGAATGTGTAAACTCTGCACAAACGGCCACCTGAAGGTGGACTCAAACCTGGGTCCCTGGGCCTGTGAGGTATCAGTGCTAACCACTGAGCTCGCTTTGTTAGTGGGGACAGCGTGAGTGGAACATTTTATGCTGTTCAATCAGATCCCTACGTTAGCATTCCATGCCTTTCTAATGAGAGGTTTTGAAGGGATAATGTGAGTTGGGTTTTTACCAGGATTGCAGGAAAAGGCTGAACTGTAAGGAAGAGTTCTAACATATGAAATCTGGTTGTACACCCCCCTACCTATGTTTCAAGGTCTGTGTTCACATCCTACACTACAATAGTGATTGTGCTTTTGACAGCCACTTTATAACCTCAAAATTGAATGGAATATCCCATGTCATTCAAGTATAAAAATAATTTTGAAGTAAACATGAATTAAAAACCTCCTGTGACAAATCATTCCACACGGCCTTTTGCATAGCATTCTTGATCTGGATACTGGCTTGTTCGAGATCTTGATGCCTGACCTTAAAGCTAGCCGTTTTGCTGCACATTACAACAAAGAATTGCTGAATAATTATGTTTCTATTCTCAAAGAATAGAGAATGAAATTTGAGCCATGATTATGAGGGGGGGGAAGGTGGCTGTTTACCACTGAGAGTCCTCACCTGTCATTTGAAAATGTATGCTCAAGTTTTGGAAGATTTTCCGGCTCAACAAAATCCTTCAATGTTTCCTGAATAGCAGGATATGCCCAGACAGGACTAAGGGCCAGTGTGTCAGATTACCTTGATGCTATGTCTCATTTATATTAATGTTGGCAGTGTGCAGATCATTTGCTGAAAGGTTTCAGTGTCGAGCAAAGTTTCGGGGACAAGCAGATATCCTTGCGATTTGCAGTTGGTTTATTAGGTAGGCTGGACTGCAGTGTAACAGAAGCAGAACACTGCAGGTGCTAGAAAAGCAGAAAATGCTGGAAAGACTTGAGCCTAGTCCATCCCTGCTGAGAGCGAAACAGTGGATGTGACGGTCTGTTTGTCAGAACTAAGAAGATATTGGATTTGAACAGATTTAACCACGTAGCAAGTCAGAGAACAAACAGGAAGGTCTGGTGGGTGATTCACAATGAGACTAGTCAGACCATAACTGGAATACTGTAAAACACTTGGGCCAGTTATCTAAAGACCGATATACTGGCATTGGAAGCAGTCTAGAGAAAGTTTATTGGGTTGATACCAGGAATGGAGGGACTGTCTTATGAGGAAACTTTGAATAGATTGGGCCTATACGCGTTGGAAGATTGAGAGGGGTCCTTATTGAAACATACAAGATTCTTCGAGTACTTGACAGAAGTAGATGCAGAAAGGTTGTTTTCCTTCATGGGAGAGTTAAAACCAGAGGGCATCATCTCAGAATAAGGGGTAATGCAGTTTGAATTAGAATTAGAAATAGGTTTATTGTCATGTTTATTCAAGTACAGGGATATATGAGTAGAGCAACAAGTGTACAAAGTCACATTTCCAGCGCCATCTTAGGTACAAAGACCTAGGTAAGAAATCTTAGAAATAAATTAGGAAAATAAAGGTAAAAGCTCAGGATTATGGTCCCTCTAAAACAGGGAATTAAGATAGACCTGAGGAAAAATGTCTTCTTTCAGAGGGCTATGAATCAGTGGAATTCTTTACCTTAGAGGGCTATTGAGGCTGGGTCATTAAGTGCATTCACGACTGAGATAGATTCTTAATCAGTAAGAGATTTAAGGGTTATGGGGACAAGGCAGGAAAGTGGAGTTGAGGATATTATCAGATCAGCCATCATCTCATTGAATGGCAAGTTGTTTTGATGGACTGAATGGCTCTTTTTTCATCTAATGTTTTATGGTCTTATAAGTTGGGGAGCCAGGAGAAACTAAATGGCAAAATGAATGGTGGTGTGAGGGGTGAATTAAAAAGGAAAGGGGGATAATGAGATGAGTTCAGCAGCAAAGATTCGCTTCCAAGGGCCTGCAAGTGGTTCCAGAACCATAGTAACAAATGGAAAACTTGGTAAAGATGACCTGTCTGAAATACTGCAGAACATCTCCGAAATGATGGAAGGTCGTCGACCTGAAATATTTACCATGTTATTCTCTCTACCTGACCTGCTGAGGTTTCTCGGCTTCTTTTGCTCTCATGCCAAGAGATTTGGGTTGCCATGTACGGATTGGCATTTCCCATCTCCAGCACTGTTCTTCCATTCTGCAGTCGTGCTCAGTACCCAAGAAAAAATGGTGGCATTGGTCTTGATGGTGTGAGCTTCAAATCAGTAGGAAGAGCTGTGGCCTCTGAGTCAGACAGTTGTGTGTTTGAGTCTCACTCCAAATTCTTAAGGATAAAATTCCAGGCTGACCTGCCACTGAAATGCACTTGTGGAAACGCTCCCTTGAAGATGAGAAATTGAACTGAGGTTCCATCTGCCCTCATGGGTGGATCTAAAAAATTATTTTGAAGAACAGT